AGTGGGCCTCATCGGCTATCTGCTTTTCTTCGGAGAGCTTCTTAGCCTGCTCTAAGATCAGTGTAATCAAGGGCAGAACGTAAGTGTCTTTCTGCTGATGCAAACGACGAGAGAGTCTACGCAGCCTTCGAAGGAAAGACAGAGGAAGATTTACTTCATCCTTGACATGTATTTCTTTCTTACGGGGGACAAAATGGAGGATGAGTGGATCCAGCACTTTGAACAATGTATCGGTACAAACATTTAGATCAAAACATTGGAAAAGTTCAGACCAGTCGAGAGCGTTTAGATGTGTCAGTATTTCCGTCGTGTTCGCTGATCGGAAGTCATGATAAAAACTATATTTTTGGGAAAATGTTTCTTCCGCCTCCAGTTCTAGTGTGGTAACAACTGTGAGATGGTCTGAACTCCCAAGTGTCTCTAAGGGTGACCTGTGAGTGGTTCGTCTAAGGATGACACTGAAAGTGGTTCACATCCCCTACAAAAAATTAGGTCGAGTATGTTTGCTCCTCGAGTGGGAAAATCGATTACCTGATCCCACATGCCGAAATCTACAGCCTCAAGTAAGTTCTCGAACTTTGAAGGACCGGAGGATGGAAGCCATTGCACGTCAGGAAGGTTAAAATCACCTGCAATCAAGGTATACTTAAGATTCAAGTCGGCTGCGGCATGAAATGCCTGCCCAAGGCATTTGCCGGGAATGAGGTAAAGAAATACCTGCTAAGCGAGGCGTTCAAATGTGGAATCACACAGAACGAACGGAACCTTCTGTAACTTGTATAGGTCTTGTAGAGCCGCAAGGAGCGTTTCAGAACAGTCCTTCGGATGAATTTCCACTTGCTTACACTCTGATTTAAGGTCAAGGGATCAGAACCATTTTATCTAGGGTGGTGTTATGTACGGAAAGTGAAAGGCAGTTTGTAGGTAGGACGGATGTAATGTAAGTAGGCTACCTGTGGGCGGAATGTTATGTAGGCAAAACAGAGGACTGACTGTAGGCAGGACGTGTACTGAGGACGAAGGCACATTTCAAGTGACGAGTCATCTAAACAAAGGGGGCTTTTGATGTGGCCTAAACGTAATAGGCTGAAAGGTAGCCAGTCAGAGCAAAAAAGGGGTAAACCCTCTAGCCAGGGGTGAAGGCTGGCCAGTCGGAACAGTGAAAGGCGTGAACACCTGTCCGTGACCTTAACCGGCGCTTGACGCGCGCATCGTGTCATGATGTTCCGACACTACGGGCGAGTATACACCACAGTTTGAACGGGAACAAGTCACAACTCGTGAGAGGGTTTGGGTTGCGGTAGTCAACGCAGATGCGAAGAGTGGTCAT